ATAAATATATCTTGAAAATTTTACGCCAGTTGGTTAATATCGGTGAAGACATTGACTTGTACGATAAAATCAAGGATGGTAATGGTAATATTAGCCGTTTCCCTACAAGGAAATATTTCAGTGAGCAGCCAGTACTCTTTTCAGTTGAACTTTATAAAATCTTTCTCTTAATTTTTTTTTTAGGAAAACATGATTTTTAAGTCCAGTAGCTGTTATTGATTTTTTCAGTATTAATGGGGGTCTCCTTTTGGTATGAAATGTTAGCATCTTCATTATACCATTATTTTCATGTGCTATCCATTTTAGTTGTTGTTATTGTTGATAGTCTTCAAGTGATGTTATTTCTATTATTTGGTACAGTTCTTTGTTATTCTATAGCACCAGTCCACAATGTTGAAAGAAGAATGATCTTTGCCAAGACTCTCAGGCTTTACTCACTCAAAACATTTTTAACTGTTGATCTTAGGAAGTGGTTGTATACAGCCGACAGTTTTGATATTTCTGGACAGGTTTGTCACCATGCATGGCATCCATATGAAAGTCTTGATCTGACGAGACTATATAAGAACATGACTCAAGTTTTGATGTTGATGTTTTAGTTTTGTAGCAATTTGCAGTGTTGTGTGAAACTACCTCTGGCTCAGCCATTTCTATATTCAATTTTTTTTCCTATACTTAATTTGTTATAACTGATCCATATGCCAAGGTATCTGAAGTGTTTAGTATTTATAATTCCACATACTTTTATGATACATTCTGGGTAGGTGACATCACTGCTCTCATTCCAATTCCGGATCATAGTTTCTGTTTTGGAAAGGTTTATCTTAAGCCCCATTTCTTGGACTATAATGTACATTATTATTTGGGTTTGATAATGTTTGTAATTAATAGTAATTGCTTTATACTATTTCAGATAGCAAAGGAAACATGTACTCATGTACATCTTTTCTAAAAGTGAAATGGTACAAAGCAAACTTTTGAAAAGCATTGGTGGGTGGATACTTGCATATGAAAAATTTCAGTATAAACTTCTAATTTACTCAGGAGAAAAGATAAAAACAGCTTGCCAAATTAAAGGCAGTTTTTTTTTTACCTTAAACCAGTCAATAGGCAAGCATCTACTTCAGCTTTATTAATTAAAGCAAATTGAATTAATTATCTAATTATCAAGTCATCAAATAGAGAAGACAATTTCCTATTTCCTTTTTATGCATTATAATATGTAAGCATTTTAGAAGACATTCACAGTTGTTTAGATAATTCTAGCTGAAGTGAATGAACTTAACTCTCCATAGCCTGAAGCGAGCCTTACACCAATTTGAGTACCTTACACATTAAAACGTAATTCTACATTACCAAGATATTTTGGTGTGCTATCTTTCCAAATTCATTACATAGAAATTCCTCTTTTTGGATCTCCAAGAAACCGTCTGTAACATAATCGTAACAGTTCAGTGCCAAAATTTGAACTTTTTTTTCAATGCAGTCTCCTGGCAAGATGTTTTGTCTTAAGGAAAATAAAGCTAAAATGTTTTAAGCTAGAAATATTTTAACCTAAATCTTTATTTTTAGGTTAAATTACTAAAACAAAATCTATCAACACATGAAAAGGCAATCTCTGTCTCTCTCACACACACATATATATAGGATATTCATATTGTGTGCAGGCACATGATTTTTATATATGGCTGGCCATATGGTAATAGATGTGTCATCCAAACTTTGCTGCTGTTTATCATTGTGTTGCTGAAACTGGATTCGTGGCACCATAAACTATGGATAGAAGAAGACTGATATCCACTGGAACACCTAACCATGAAGAATACATTCTAGAGGCTGTGGGAGATGATCCAGGTATCAGCACATGTCAAGTGGCCCTAGCATGTCATACATCTCATAATACCGCATGAAATCTCTTGTATGTCTTCTGGACAGCATTCGTGTTTAAGATGGTGAATGCTGCCATAATCCTTGCTTTCAGTTCATCTTTGGTGTTACAAGGAATTTTGTGGGTCTCTTGCTCAACTACACTCCACACATAATAAGCGGGGTGGTGGTGGTGTGCAGTCTGAGGTTTGGTTTATTTTAAGGCATATCGACCCCAATGGGTCATTTAATGCCAACAAGATTTTTAGGATAGGTTCACATGAGTAGAATATGTATTCTTTGTAAGAGATCCATTTGTAGATCAGGTTTCATTGACATATTTTCGTAAAAAGTATTTTGTTGAGAATCAAATGTGTTACTGGTAATTTTTTTTTTCAAAAATGTATTGCTGGAATTTTCACTATAAAAATCTATTTTTCATACTTTCATAATTTATAAAACTATTTACCCATAAATGGGACCCTTAACAGATGCTACCACCCCAGGTCAGGGTGAACCTGGAAACAACATTAACTATGAGGTAGCTCCACACTCCTCAAAACCTGCCGATCAGAGGCCTTGCTGTCAGATATAGTTTATCAACATACTGCAGTCTGAAGAGTTAGGTGGTCAGATGTAAGGGATGATGTGGTTGCAGAAATTGTCTGACAGCTATGACTGGATTCTCCTGCTTGTGTGGCGTGGTGCAGAGTCTTGTAGCCAGACATAGGGTCTTCCAGCAGTTACCCTCTTGACACAGGGCAGCATTACTTCCTCAAGGCACTTAATTAGGTCTCTGTGTTGTATCTGAGGCCCTGTGAGAATATGAATGGAGGCATAACATTGCCATCACCATTAGACTCATCCAACTCTTTCAGAATCCTCTGCTCTGTTACCAGATTGACACCCAAACACTCAAAATGTTCATATTAGAGCTTCTGGTGTGAATGCCAAGCAGTACAGTATGTTGTTTCAAATTTCTGGTAGAGTGAACTGTGCCTTTGTAAAATTTGAACAGCTATTAAGCAAAATAAAAACAATGAAAAACTTATAAAATAACTAATGATGTTGACAGAATAACTTGAAGAGAGAAGAAACAATATCAAGAGAGAAGAATAATTGAAAGAAGAATCCATTTCAAGAGAAAAGAATATCTTGAAGTGAGAAAATATTAGTAGCATTTCTTATGGATACTTATGTACTTGTGGATATGGCTTTAATTTCTGGAACTGATGTTATTCAGGAAAATTCCAACATTAGGATGAAATTACAAAATTTCACATTGAAGAAATAACTTGCTCAATATCATTAATCCCCTTATATATTGTGAGAATACAAATAGATATCAGATATAGAATCAAATCCTGTTTTTCATAAGTAAAGGTGTATCTGATGATAGAAGGGTTGGTTCAATCTGATGGACTATATGAGTTCTTAAAGAGTACTATAGGTATGTAGACAGGTACAAACAATATTTCATATGTAGATTAATTTGCAAAAAGAAGTACTGACCATTGGAAGATAGATTTGTACCTCATTTAGTCAATAAGATATGAAATCAAATAATAATGAGCTTCCATATCCTGGTTTCTACTAAAATCTTTTGTATACTTGATCTAGAATTGTGAGCATCTGTGATAGAGTGATAGCAAGCTAATTTTTTAAGATTGATCTCCAAAAGTACTACTTTATAATCAGTTCTAGCAAATAAATAGGCAAAACAATAATGATGAAAAAAGCATTAATTTCACATAACATTTATTTTTCAGCATAATCTCCTTTCTTGTCAATTCATTTAATTCAGATATAAATTAATGTTGTAATGGAATGTCCCACACCCTTTATCGCCAATGTGGATTGACTATATCAGTAGCTATATATAGTGGGCAAAGGATATACCTGGGTGGGGGGGGTTGCTTTGGGAATTACTAGCCTGCCACCTGGTCCCTGTCTTTCAGTAGTGTATTCTCTTTTACAATAAACCTCTCTTCTTTCATCTAAGCACATGTTGCTGTTCCTTCACTTGAGTACCACCTTTGTCTATTTGTAATCTCTTTAAGTATACAACAATTAATAACATAAAATCAAATATTATACAGTGACAACATTCAGATCAACTCATAAGTACATGTTAGGCTACTATTAGATCCACACCTGTATCTGCTGGATCCAAGACTTTGAATCCATACCAGAGTAGATAGTAAGCTAGTCTTAGGAGATAGATCCTCAAAAATGACACCAATATTGCCAGATTTATTAAATGTAATACAAATGCAAAAGAATGTATACATATGCTTTATAGGTTATGCAAAAACATTTGATAAAGTATATCACAAAGAACTGTTGGAGCAGTTAAGTAAGCTTGATATATTTGGGAAGGATATTGGATTATTTCAAAATGTATACTGGGAGCAAAATGCCTGCATATGGATAGAAAAAGAATTCAGTAAATATGCAAAAATAGGATGGGGTATAAGACAAGGATGTGTCATCTCACTGGACTTATTTAACCCATACAGTGAGGTGATTCTGTGAGAATTACTAGGAATCATTATTGGCGGCCACAATCTAAACAACATTAGATATGTGAATGACATAGTGTTGATTGCAGACATAGAAAGGAAATTACAAGAACTTCTTTAGATGGTAGTGAAGGCAAGAGAGATAGAGGAAAGCAGTGCATAAACTACCTAATGAGTTTGTGTAACAGTTCACAGAACGAGGATTATGAGAGAGCAAAAAGTAAAAGTTTATTAAGAGTTACAAAGGACAGCAAATTTGTAGAGAGCCATGGTCACTCATATTCTGAAGAGATATGGCATATAGAAGAAGAATTGTTATAGAAATGGTGCATCTTGTCATCAAATAACAATGAGCTACCATATACAGAGTTTTTCTAGAAAAAAAAAAAGATCAATGAAAGTAATGAAATGATACAAGAAAAAAATATGAATGAATCCAGATTTAAATGACAAAGAGTTTTTAATATCTTTACTTTTATTTCTTTTACCCTAATAAGAATTTCTTGTTTGTTTTTTGTAGATGTTGGCCCTGTTCTTTCAACAACAGATCCTGATGAATTTCAGAATAAACTGCGAGAACTTTATCCCCAAGGGGGAGGAGACTGCCCTGAGATGAGCATTGGGGCCATTAAAAGAGCACTGGAAGAATGTTTACCACATTCATTCATTTATGTTTTCACTGATGCCAGATCCAAAGATTATTACCTAACTGAGGAAGTCTTGGCTTTAATTCAAAATAAGCAAAGCCAGGTAAGTAGCAGAAGATATTATTCAATTTGAAAACCTCCATAATTCTTCTTTCTCTCTTTTGCTTTTTCTCCTTTCATAAGAAGACAGCATGCATGTTTCTAATTGATTAAACATTTATTATTTGTATATTTTCATTCACTGCATGTGGCCAAAAAAGAATCATTGACATCAAAAACACAAATGCACGAGAGAGAGGAAAAGAAAACAGGAGATAAAACAACATACTGACAACACTGGTAGAGGGTTGTATCTGTAAACTCAGATAAAAGTGTTGTGCATACACACACAGTATATAAATTTCTAAAGAATTAATGGATTTATATCTTATCTGACATTGGCATTTATATTACTTTTAATTATTATATTGGATACTCATATTTGAAATAGATGCCCCATTTTTATTTTAAAGTGTGGATTACTTTGTGTAAATCTTAATAAAGAAAAAGTCAGAGAACACATTTTCTTTATTAAGATTTTGTGAAAGTGTTCAATAGAGATACATGTAATACATACTGTTTAAAATAAAAATAGGGTATCTATTTCAAATACAAATATATATATATATATATATATATATATATATATATATATATATTATGCAATGGATGCAGTCTGGCAATTATTCTAATATATTTTCTGTTTACATGTTATTTTTATAGATATAAATATTTAAGTAAATGCTCTGTTTATAATAAACAATATTAACTCAATTTACTGGCCTGAGCGATTTAGAAATTTCATAAAAAATGTGTGTCCTCTGAGAGGAATCAAACCTGTATCCTACATGGAACCATCATATAGCCTGATGTGTTATAGTAGATGCTTCCTCTGTAGCTAAATGGTATAGCACGTCAATAAAAAGACAAACCTTGTTAATTGAATTTAACAAAACCTTTCTGTGTGTGTGTGTTTGTATATAATATTTTCAAACATTATTTTTAGTGGATACCCATATTTGAGTAGACTTTATGTTCTTTTTATTTTAAACAGTATTAATTTTATCAACCAGTCTGTGTGTTCAAGAAAACTCATTAAAGAAAATGTGTCCTCTGCCAGGATCTAAATGTGTGGCCACCTTTCAGGTGAAACTACCATCTGATCTGGCATGCTTTAAATAATTGACTCTGAAGAGTTTCACAATCAAGCAGGATTCTATTTGACTTTAAAACACACACACACTTGTTCAGAATTTCTCAATATATCTGCTCAGTTTCATATCTGAAACAAAGCAATTCCTAAAGAATTAATGGATTTTATTTTTTAATCTGAGGTTTTTTATTACTTCAAATGTTATTTTTGGTGGATACCCATATTTGAGTAGATGTTCCATTTTTCTTTTCTCTGTTTTATTTTTTATACAGTACTAGCATTAAAAGTGAAATTTGCCAGTTGAAGTTCAAATTCTGCTTGATCCTATTTTGTTCACTTCATGCTAATGCCTCTGAAAAAGGCATAAATCCATCTTTCTTTTGCTATGGGTTAAATAGCAGTGTGAACTGGACTACCATGCCTTGAGTGGCAGCTAGTTCAGGAGAATGAAAACATTACATTCAAGCCTGAAGAGGACTGTTTGGAGTCTCATGGCATACTGTTCACCATTTCTCTGTTTTTCTGAAAGATATGGCTAGTTCTACACATGCCTTCACCCCAAGAATCAAATAATCTGTGTGGGTAGACGTGCACTTACAATTCAGTTCTGAAACTGAATTGTTGAGTTCCCATACATTGAAATCAATGGGAGATTTCATCATATATATGGATACACATTGCATTTTATATATTTAGAAAACATTTTAAAAAATTCTGATGAAATATCTTAATGACCCCTGTCAAAGGTGACTATGGGAGTAACAGTTTTTGCAGCTACCACCTGGCCAAGTAAGACAGCTACAGGAGAGTGGTTTGCTTAAATACTCACCCATAAACTTTTTTCTCTGTCAACTACCATGGCATGGCATTTAGGAGACATTTTCCTAAACCGATCAGCCAAATGTATGCATTTACTTACAATCAAATCTTATAATACCAGTTGGCCATAACAATGTATGGACAATATGGTAGTTTCTATGGAATAGTGGTAGCATGCTTTGTTATTTGTAATTTATTTTGTGATTTTCCATTGATGACTGAATTTCTGTATCATCACAACCAGGTATAGACTTATGAATGCACAGGAAGGCTTACAGGCCTTTATTGATTCTGATGATAAGAAGCCAAATTGAATAAATTAATTTTATTCTGATGATGACTTAGGCTTTGACAACTCTAGCAGTAGGCCAAGTAAAAAAATCAAGAACATCATGTTAATACATTTATAATATATTTTGCATGCTTTAATCATTTTATTGTATTTAATTTTCATAAAAATAACCTAAGCTAAATATTCATGAGTCAAATGGCCCTTACCATATAATTTGAAGACAATCCAACCAGAATATATTCAGGGTTACAGGGAGATTAACTGCTGTAGATAACTCACAAATTTTAATATGATTTACCTAAAAACTGGTAAAATTTGGATTTAAATTTGGTTTGGAAAGAGTTAAGTAATATATGAAGGCTGCTGAGTGTCCAGGATAAGGTGGAAGGTTTCATATGTGGAAGCAACATCAAAAGACAACCCCTTCACAACTATTCAAATACATAGTTTATATATTTGTTATACTAATAAAATGAAGAGTATGTGTTAATTGGTTCATTTTTACTATTTGTTCTTAGCTTTTTTGATTAGTTCACTGATTTTTTTTCTTTTTAGAAAACATGACTGCTTATCTTTTTACATCATCCATTGGAAGTTTTGTGACTTGAATATTTTATCTACAATACATTAAATTATTTCTCCAGACCTTAAAATTTGAATGATTTGAATGATCTTTTGACAAGCAAAATCAATATGTATTGATCTGATGAAACAGATAAAGGATTTGAGTACTCTCAAGTGGTCAGTATCAAACCATTCTAAAGGTTTTTTGACGAGTTATTTGCAGCTCCTTACATTTTAACTAGAACTTAATTTTCTAAGAGATAAAAATTACTTTGGGCAGGAAAGTTCATTGGATGAAAGTCAAAACTTATGCTGGTGAAGTTAGATTAAATTTCTATAATGAAAAAGTTACACAAGATAATTTAAAAATTATTACATAACATCTATCTCAGGACAGCTTTTGATGAAATCATGTAAACACTCAGATGAATACAAGAGACATATGAAAAAAAAAACAGAACACAGAAAATATAGATTGAATGTGATTCAACACAAAATGTATGAAAGACTCTCATCTAACAAAGATTTTACCGTTTAGTGAACTGTCCAAAACCATGTCCTCTGGTATCCCCAATTGGTCACCCACCTAGGTAATGACAAAGACGATGGAGTCATGGATAAAAGCTTGGAATTGGAAATCAAAGAGCTGAGTTCCAATTCCATTTGGGTTCATTATATTCAGTTACATGCACATATTCTTTGAAAAGGTATGAATCTGCCTCTTCTCATCCCAGCTATGGGTTAATTAGTAGAACTTGTATCAGTAAATCATTATTATTCCATCCAAATTTTTACAATCTAAAATTTTCTGGTCTAAAATAACCTTCATAAATGCTGATACACCATAAAAAAAATCTATCAATGTAGAATTTTTGTTTGTAGAATGATCAATATTCCAACAGTTTGAAGCTCCCCTATCTGTGGCGCCAATTCCTCACTATAAAACCTAAAATTCCTGGACATCGGTGGAGAATTCCTTTCCTTCAAAGTTGGAGAATTTCCCCTTTGTTAAGAACCATTGTTACAATATGCATACACTTGTCTGGCAAAGCATATGTAAAAGATATTGGGGATAAAATATAATTGTACATGTTACCAGATGATGAATATAGCAAAGGGTCAAAAGTAAACATCTCTAAAGACCTTTAAAAAAAACTAATAGGAAATATAAAAGATAATTATTAAGATATAAAATCATTACATCATCATTATACAGAAGTATTCAGTTTATTTTTCTGGTGAGGTTTTTATGTATATCTGCTTATTGTTACAGTCAACCCATGCTGTTTTTATATCCACCATATGCTACTTAGTAAAAATATTAAGAGATTTAATATTTGGGTGACTTGAGAAAGAGAAAAACATTTCATAACATTAAGTTTTTCAAGAAAAAAAAAAAAAAATTAAGCCAAAAAAAAAGATATATATTAAAAATAAAAAAAAAACATACAAGAATAAAAATATTCTTTTTTCATATTTTTTTTTTTTCAGCAATAAAATAGGATTTTTTTTCTCTAAAAATTTACTTTTTTCAATTAGCAAAAAATGTAAATCTTGGAAAAACTTAGAGTAATGTTAACCATAAATTGTCCATCAGCTGCTTTCATTGAGATAAATTTTACAGCATACCACTTAACCCATTTTCTGTTTGACATCACATATGAAATATTTACAAAAAATTATTTTGTTAATCAAATGTCACACACATACACACACACACACATATGAGAGATGCTAAAATATTCTTGACCCAGATTTTATTTTGTGATCCCTTCTTGGTTGGGCCGAAAACATTTCAGTACCCGCTTGTATGTATTTTAATTTAAAAATGGCATGTCCTTTTAGGATGTAAGCAACAATTGTGCTCCAAAGATTCTTTTTCTTAATTATCTGTGAATTGCGATGATTTTCTGGGAAAGATAGTGGAGTGGTTTACCATTGCTTTTTCTTTGGCTTTCAATTATTCTCCTTCTACTAGACTGACTGCCAACCAAGACTAAAGAGCTCAGCTTACTCTGCTATTTAGATTTTAGATGAAGAGCGAATAAATGGATTCTTGCCTTTCCTAAGGGCATTAGTGGGAAAGCGAACACAACAGACTAGGCTGGAATTTGAAGTTGGATTGCTAATTTCAGTTTCTATACCAATAACTATTATGCTACCTATGTGTGCGTGTATATATATATATATATATGACAACCAACTTTGATGTAAAATTCGTCAACAGCAACTCTAA